GATGAGAAGGCATAAAGGTGCAAATCTTTTTTGGGAAATTGAGGGGAAGCCTGCTTTATCTAACAACTGAAATATAAAGATTGTTTATTGGGAGTGATGAGATATAGAGGCTGGTGAATAATTCTTAATTTTAAGTTGGACTTGAAAGAAATGCCCAAATAGGCAGGAAATTCATTGTAATATAAAGTTTTTAAGGAACATTTGGATAGACTTTAATGGATATTTACCCCATATTATTAGAGAAGCTAGTATAGATTAATAGTGAGGTGTCTAAGCCCACAGAGGAGGAACTTTCAAAGATGAATTTATTAGTAAAGTTATAAGGTCAAAATAAAGCAGAAATAAATTGGATCATAGATAGACTTAAAGAAGAAATAATTGGAACATTTTCAAATACTTTGGGTCACTATTTGTTCCCCCAAAGGTGAACTTCAAGTAATATTGAAAAATCCAAGGCAGAATATTGTAGCAAATTTGACAACTGGCTCTTCTCATCTGATTCTGGGGTATCTAATTTCAGAGTTCAAAATATCAAGGTTTGAAAATGCAGAGGAAAAATTGGAGTATCAACATTCCCAAAATTGGACAGGGAATTCAGATCTTAAGAACTATGTGGAACTTGAACTGAGCATTTTATAAAGACTTCCGTCATGGAACCAATGGCCAGCTTATAAAACCAATAGCACAAATGATTAAAATAAATGCTTGGAAGGAATTTATGAAATTCGGGGGACTCACCAATCAAAGGAGGGAGTAAGGTGAAGACAGCTGTACAAGAACAGCTTAGTTTAGCCAATTGACCTTTCCCTTCTTTGCACTTAATTTCCAAATCAGAGTACTCAGTGTCCCTTTTTCTAAAGTCTCTGATATTGCCATTCTGACACACACCTATCAGCAAATACAGAACATCACAGACTAGTTTGCCTCAAAACCCACCCTTAATGAATTATTTCCCCCAGAAAAGGGGAAAACAACCCAGTTTGGCAGAAATAATAAAGATGAGTAACTTGAGAGAGCCCCCAAAGCTTCAGTTTTTATTTTGGCCACTTATGTAACATTCCTTATGGATGTTAATGAAAACAGGCAGTTGCCATGGCAACCACAGTAACTCCAGACATCTGATTCTACTGAAATCCACCCTGGTCTTCACCACACCCTTGCACAGTGCATAAGATCATAGCTGTTTCAGAATTTGTGGCAGTAAAAATTATCCCCATGAGCAGACATTGTTTTTTGTTGCTGTTTAGCCATCTCAATTTTTAAAAACACCCTTATCTGGAAAATTTGTCACCCCATCTATTATGTAAATGGCCTCTCTGGTTTTACCATATGTTGTGGGAACCCAAGGACAACGTCACCCCATTATGCCCATTTTTATATAACTTGTTAATATTGAAATTGAGCTGTACCACAGATCACAAGTAACAGTTCCCAGGCAATGAATATTTACTGAATGCCTACTATGTGCAAAAAAAACAAACCAAAACAAAAAACTATGCTGGGCACACACTTTAGAAATGATTCAATCCTTATCTTCATACAGCTTACTGTCAGGGGATTAATATTACAAATGTACTCAATTATAATACAATGACATTATCTAAGTGTACTAAAGAATTTCAGAACAAAATATTATGGGAGGCCCAAGGAGGAAGATGACCTGGGGGATCGGTGAAGGCTTCATAGAAGAGGTGATATTTGAGGTGGATCTTAAAGGCAGAATAGGAAGTCAGCAGAAGAAAGAAGAGGGGACACAGCTCAAGCAAAATAAAAAAAGATAGGATAGCATAGGACGTGTGTATGTAGAACAGAAAGCAGTCCAGTTTGGTCACAGCCCACAGAGAATTAGTAGAGGCGATTGATATGAAATAAGACTAGAGAGGTGGGGTGACCCAATATTGGGTAGAACCTTGAATGTCAGCCAGAGGAGTTTTATTTTATTCTTTAGACAATGAGAAGCCACCCGTCCTTTGAGCAGAATTATTCTGCCAGAAGTATGAATGACACATCTTGTTGTTATTATTCAATCATTTCAGTCATATGGAACTCTTCGTGACCCCCCTTGGGGTTTTCTTGGCAAAGATACTTTGTACTTTGGTACAAATGGTTTGCCCTCCTCAGCTCATTTTACAGATGAGGAACTGAGGCAAACAGGGATAAGTGACTTGCCCAGGGTCACACAGCTAATACGTATCTGAGTCTGGACTTGAACTCACAAAGATAAGTCTTCCTGACTTCAGACTCAGCACTCTATCCACCATGCCACCTAGCTGCCCCAAATGACATGTGAAACGGAATATAGAATGGAAGCTAAAAGTCCTGCTAGGAGGCTATTACAATAGTCCAGGCAGGCAATGATGAAATCCTACAGTAAGATTCATGGTAGTGTAGGTGAAGAAGAACTGAAGGTTTAAGAGAGGTAGAATTGGCAGCAATTGGTATGGTAGAAAGAGTGCTGGGTTTGAAATCAGGACCTGGATTTCATTCCCAGTACTACCACTAACTGTGTGACTTTGAGCAGATCACTTAACCTCAGTTTCTTCATCTTGAGGGGGTTGGATTAAATGACCTCAAAGGTTGCTTCTAGCTATAAATCAATGATTAATGAATTCAGTTTGAAAGATCAGAAACCTTCTTAGAAAGGTCAAGAAAGAGTCCAAACATGGGAGCTAGGATAAGTGATGGAACCAGTAAGCAGAAGTAGTAAAGTCAGGGTAAAGGATAGGCTTAGAGGAAAGGATAATAAGTTCTGTTTGGTGCAAGTTAAATTTGAGGTGCAACTGGAACATTTGGATGGATATGCTTGATAGGCTATTTGAAACACAAGTCTGGAGCTTGGGGGGAAAAAAGTCAGGACTAAAGATATAGGTTTGGGAGGTCATCTCCTTAGAAGAGGTAGTTGAAATTATGGGAATGAATGGGAAGAGAAGAACCAGTTCTAAAGTTTCATATCTTTAAGATGGCATAGTTCCAAGAGATGGCTAAGATCTGAGTTGTGACACATCAGTATATATGGCTGAGGTGGGTTGAAGAAGGTCATTGGAGTTGAAGAGGCTGAGAAATTAAATACTTATTAGAGAGTTATCAACACAAAAATTGAAGTTCCTAAGGGTCATGGCAGGAGATAGGTTGGAGAAGAAAGCTGAGCTAGATATTAATGCAATTAAGATTTTGGGAGAATGATCTAGAAGTCATTTGTGACCACTAAAACCATAAGAATTACCTGTGCTAAGTAGTTAGCCCATATGATTTGGTTAGTTTTGGGTATGGGGATGGTCCAGTTGTCTCAGGACCACTCCTGTCAAGAGTTCTGTTTTTATTTCAGTAGTGCGGCTGCATTTTGGTATTGGTCCTGAAATATCATTAATCCATTGAATAGAAACTATGTCAAATTGTACTCAGGACTGAGAATCTAATGTAGCAAGCAGTAGAGAGAATGATAGGACCTCAATATTATTCAAACTTGAAAGTATTGAAGTATTCCTGTCTGTTATAGATGTGAATCACTGTATGAACCCTGCCACTTAAAATCTGCATGTTTAGAAAACTGCATGTAAAATCAGACTTGAAGATTATAAAAACTAACGACTCAGAGGGCAGCTTTGTACCGTAGTTCTCCTAAGTTACGTACCCTTACGCCATCACTAAACGCTGGAACAGTTCTGGAATGCTGTTTCGTGCATTTTCATTGACAAACTGATCTATCTCTAATGAAATCTGTGCTTGGCAAAGTATAATTTCTTGTCACCAAAACCATTACTAGTAAGATTTATGCCCAGGGCAAGCAAAATAGAATATACTCTTGAATCATCTTCTTTGATATGGCACAAGATTTCAACAAGAGGAGAGGGGGAAACCAGACAAGAAGGAGCTCATCTGGGGTGCAGCCTCCAGGGAAGGAAGTAGCATCTACTAGCTACTTATTTTGGCTAATGATTCCTGCTACCTAGATATTGAACTAAATTGTTTCTGTGCTATTGTAGATCTGCAAGTACTTTCTGTGCTCTCTAATCTGTGAACTTGAACTTTTTTTTTATATATATATATTTGTATGTGTGTATATATATGTATATTTATCTAATTGTATTTAGCATAATTAGTTTGCTTTTTATACCTTTGTATTTTATTTTATGCACTTAAGAACATTCTGGGGAGTCCATAGGCCTCATCAATCTTCCAAAGGGGTTCATGATACAAAAAAAAAAATCAGAGCCCTAGAACAAAGCCCCATTCACCCTGCCTTGGTTATAGCTCTGACCTTCACCCTCAGGTGAATTTTCACCTTGGGGGTGGGAATGATCACAATCTGTGATTCTTCAGTAGTATTTGTGACTCATGCCTGAAACATCAAACTGATAATCTAAGCAAAACTCATGTGTGTTTTTCAGACCTGGCTGCTCAAGCTTGCAAAGTATAAAATGCAAGTAGGAAAATTACTAAAGATGAATAAGTTAAATTTCTTAATTAGAATTTTCCATCAAATATTAATGGGAAGATAAGATAGGGCACTAGGCTTTCTGCTTTTTTTGGAGAGTTCTCATCTCAGGGCAGTTGGTCACATTCCTCGTACTTACTTTCTACATATCGCCACTGTTCTCATGATTCTTTGAGTGCTATTGCCCATTTTTACCCAGCTGAAGGTCAACATTGGAAGCCTAGAGCCTGTGTAGTTGCGTATCAGTGTTTATGCAGGCTTAGTCCAACTCCATGCAATGGATGTGGATTTCACATCCATGAGCTCAACATGTAATATTTGGCCCATGGGGAAAAATAATGATATTTCTAAGATCCTCAAAGACTTTATAAACATTCAGGTGCATTTTTATAGTTTTCTTATATTATTCTTTCTTTTTCACTCATTTCTTGTAAGTTGTGCTTCATTTACCCACAAAAAATGAAAAAAAAACACATTTTTTAAAAGATTATACCTTACAGAATCTCGGTCTCATTAATCCCATAACATCAATCTTATTTCTCACATGGCAATCCTTGTTTTACAGCCAACCAGGACATCTTCTGAAAGTATTTATTCCAGACCAGGGTCAAGCATCCCTGGATCTCCAGGTCATACCATCTATGTAAGTATCTCTTTCAGTAAAGCTAGTAATTATATGTAGGGGCCTCTTATTAATACCAAAAAACTTTATGGATGTCCCTGACATAATAGATAACTTGTCAATTGACTGAGAAAATTAATTATGACCAAAAAGCCGCTATAAATCCAGTAACAACTTTAATTGAAGTTGTATTTTATTAGTCCACAACAGCATCTATCTACATTTGGAAAGTAGCATATATATGTATAAATATGTGTGTGTATATATATATATGTATATATATGAGATATAGATGTGATATAGATGTATAAATTTAGATACATATATTCACATGAATAACCAGATGGTTTGCTTGCTTATTTGTTGTATTGAGTTATTTAATAAAGAGGACAATACACATATGGTTTCAGAGACCCTTTGCAATAACTCTTTTGCCTCCCAAGGGTCCACAGGCACGGGTTAGTTTGCAGTTTGTTTACTTATTGGTAGAGAATTGTTTAAAACTAACAATGGTATAATTAGTTGAAAACAGATCATCAAAAAACATTTGCATTTATGTTACGAAGTGCAATTGTATGATTTTTTTATAGTAGATATATCTTGATAATTATTGTTTGAACTAATATTAAAGTTAATTTTCATTTTCTGACCACATATCAGCTGGGCAATGGAGAGATAGCCCATTGACATTCTAGAGATGGTGGGATGTCAGACTACAAATTTCTTGCAGATAATTTACATGAGCATAATTGAGAGTTGATTGTATATTTATAGCCAGCACTGAGTATTCTTAAATTCTGCCATTAAACATTATGAGTTTGAGAAAGATAATTAAATATTTAGTTACTTAAAGATGCAGCCCTTGTTCTTCACCATCTGGGAAGACTTTTACTCATCTGTTTCCAGTTAATTTACTCTCCATAATAAATTTAGAAAGATATCTTTAAGGGTGTTTTTTTTCCTACTTGTTGATGAGTTCTATGGAGGCTTTTTCATAAGCTCCTAATTTTTTTAATTGACTAATTTGCCCAGTAAAGAGGCAGTGTTCCTGAGAATGTGATTGTGCAAGTTACTATATCTACTTTCCAAAGCAAACCTAGATGGTGTTGGTAATAAAGAGTTCCTATCGGATATGGGCATTCATGCTAATTTTTCTTTCTTTTCTGTTCTGCCAGGCAAAAGTCGACAATGAGATCCTAGATTACAAGGATTTAGCAGCCATTCCCAAGGTCAAGGCAATTTATGATATTGAACGTCCAGATCTTATTACCTATGAGCCATTCTACTCTTCAGGCTATGAGGACAAACAGGAGAGACAGAGCCTTGGAGAGGTAATGAATTCCCAAAGTAGCTGGTATTTCAATCATATTTGTACAAAATTTCCTTCCCTTCTCTTTGATTTTATCACTGTTCACAAGAACTGCTGTTCGGAGCCTCTCTTTCAGTTAAAAGATTTCTACCGTATGTTCTCTTTTCTCTTCTCTGTCGCTGCCACCACTCACGGTCACCCCATCACTTCACACTTGGACTATTGATATACTGCTGGTGGTTCTACTTGCTTTGTCTTTCCCCACTCCAGACCATTCTCCACTTAGCCTTCACGTTGACCTTTTTAAAGCACAAGTCTGTCCATTCAATCCCACTCTTCAATAAGCCGCAGTGACTCCCTGTCATCTCTAGGATCTAATACAAATGCCCTCTTTTGGACATCCAAAGTACTTCATAACCTAGTAGTCCCTTCCTACCTATCCAGTTTTCTTATGTCTTCCTCACCTGCCCCCCAAGTACTTCGGGATAGTGACCCTGGGCTTCTTGTTCTTCCTCCAACAAAACATTCCATCTCCTAACTCCATGTATTTTCACTGGCTGTCTTCCATGCCTGAAATTCTCTCCTGCCTCATATCCATCTCCTGACTTCCCCCAAGTCTACCCTAAAATTTCACCTTCTGCAAGAATCCTTTTCCAGTCCTCCTTAGTCTTAACGCCTTCAGCCTGAAATTATCTCCAACTGCACACACACATACACACACACACACACACACACACACACACACACACGTATATATACTTATACATACATATAGGTGTATCTATACACATATACATTTACATGTTTATATTTATACATATACACACATTATACATGTGTGTATTTGTGTGTGTGTTTCTACATAGTTGTTTGCATGTTACCTTCCCCAACAGACTGTGAGCTTCCTGAGAACAGGAACTGTTTTTTTCCCCCTTTCTTTGTATCCCCAGCACTTAGCACCATGCCTGGCAATTTAATAAATGGTTGTTGACTAATTAGCTCAGCTCTATCAGGGATACAAAGGGATACCATGCTTTAAGGCATGGTCCTTACCTTTTCTTCTCAGTATTTAAATTAAGAATAAAAACAATAAAATTAAAAATTAAAAAAAATCTTTTCAAAAGGTGCAGAAGGAAACAAAAACAATGTCAGAAGGAAACACAGCCAAGTGGAGCGGTTTTGAATGCATACATACAGACAGACAGAAATATGTCTGTATATGTATGCATATATATGCATGTATATATATATGCATGCATGTATATATACACACACATATATATATGCAAACAGTGTAGAGATTCAGTTTCATAGAAAATCCTTTTTTTTGTGTTCTGCTGTATGTATTGAATGGTTTGGTTGTTTTTTATCTTGCTTTGCTGTTTAAGTTCAGAAAAAAAAATTTTTAAGTGGAAAAGGCATGGTTCCTACCCTCAAGCTGCTTACAGTGTAGGTGGGGTAATAAGGCAAACACGTGTTAGCACAGATAGTACAAAGCAGAACTGAGGGGCTCTGTGTGGCACAGGCTAGCCTCAAGGAGAGAGGTCAGTGAAAGTGAAAGTAATAAAGACTTCCCAGAGGAAACGGATCTTGAACTGGGTCTTGAAGACTGTGTATAATTTGAATAAGATGAGAAAAGAGAAGGCTTTCCAGACAGGGGTAGGGAGATGGAGATGATGAGCACAGTGTGTTCTTGAGATGGGGAGGAGACCAGGCTAGTATTGTTGATGTTTAGATTTTCTATAGCCAAAGCTACCTGTATCCCTATTGCCACTGAGATGATTCAGAATGTTTACCAAGATAAGGCAAATACTTTCCTACCGCTGGGCTAAGGGCCTTAGAGTCCTTCAGCCTGGCCCTATACCCCAGGTTTAGGGACTTCCCCTGCTGTGCTCCTCACTTCAAACCAAGGAAGGACAGGACCTAAGCTCCGAACACAACAGAAAGATACTTTAATTGGAGTCAAAAGCACAAATCAATCCATCAAACAGTAAAAACAATAAAACAAAAAGAAAATAAAAGTCCATCAAAAACAATTTATTCATGAAGAAGAAAACAAGGGTTACTTTTTTCATGGTTTGATTCTAGCTTCAGTTGGATTCAGTCTCAGAATGACTTTTTTCTTTTCCTTATTTTTTGTCACAAAAAAGTCTTCCCCTTGCATGTTTTATCCCCCAAAGTATCTCAGAATTAGAGCTTTCCATTGCTTGGGAAATATCTGTTTTCATGTAGTACCACCTAGTGGTCAAGCTGTACTCATTTCTTCAAGGCAAGGGAAATTTCCCAAGGGATGCTGACTTGTGGCTTCTTCAGAGTTGCTCAGAGCAAGTATCTAAATTCTACATGTTCCCTCAGATATTCACTTTCCTTTCCATGCCAACAATTAGTGTAAGTGACCACTGGGCAAGATTCAGTTCCCCGGCTGACGCTTGACTTTTCATGGAAATGAGAGATAGAGAGAAAGGTCAACATACAGTGGCCCTATGCAGAGACCTCTTTGTGTCTTTAGCACCTCCCAGAGTCCCCTTTTGAGCAATATTCATGCTGCTGCTGCTGCTGCTGCTGTTAACAGGAAATGGTGACCAAACGTATCCCAAGAAGCTGCCACCAGTATAGACTTTGTACGAACTTTGTACAGACTTTGTCTTCATATAAACACCATGGAAATGAATGCTGGTAACCAACATATTGGGATTTCTAGCCATCGCTGTACTAATGGATGATGATAATATGAGCAGAATCCTTTTTAATACTAAAGGCAAGTCAGGCAGGTAATCAACAAGCATTTATTAAGTGTTGATTACACGCCAGTGTAAACAACTTTAGTGTCCAACAGAAGTATGATATCATCTTAGATTAGGTGCTTGATACCTTTTACCTGGATTATGTTATTAGGCTCACAATGGGTCTTCTTGCCTCCCATCTCTTCTCTTACCAGTCTATCCTGCAAAAGTTGCCAAAGTAATCTTCCTAAAATGTAGGTCCTTCCACCAACCCCTCCCCACAAAATATAGCTTGTAGTGGTTTCTCATTACCTCTTCATTATGTAGCACAGTGCAAGACTTCGGAGTCACAGATGCCCAAGTTCAAATCCTCTCTCTGATACTTACTCACTATGTGATCCTGGGCAACTCACTCAGCTTCAGCCCCAATTTTCTCATTTTCTTCTTCTTTTTTTTTGGTGAGGCATTTGGGGTTAAGTGATGTGCCTAGAGTCACACAGCTAATGAGTGTTATATGTCTGAGGTCAGATTTGAACTCAGGTGCTCCTGATTCCAGGGCCGGTGCTCTGTCTACTGTAGCTGCCCCAATTTCCTCATTTTCAAAATGGAAAATAATAATAGCACCAACCTCACAGTGTTGTTGTAAAGATCAAATAAGGTAACATATAAATGCTAGCTATAATAATAATAATGATAATTAATATTATCATCATCCGGACAAATCAAATCAAGAAACACATATTAAATGTCTAGTGTATGCAAGGCCTTCTGTTATGAACTTAAGGGATACAAAGAAAGACATGGACCTTGCCCTTAAAGAGCTTGTAGTCTAACCAGTGTGTCATGGCATAAACATATGTAAGGTTAAATCATAGTAAACAGAAAATAGCAGGTTACACAGTGGGTAGAGCTCTGGATGTAGAGTCAGGAAGACCTGAATTCAAATCCAGCCTCAAATACTTTCTAGTTATGTGATATCACTTGGGCAGGTCATTTAACCTCTCTGTCTCAGTTTCCTCATCTGTAAAATGGGAATAATAATGGTAGCTACCACCTGGGATTGTTGTGAGAATAAAATGAGATAATATTTGGAAAGTACTTTGCAAACTTTAAAGCACTACATGGGTGCTATAATGATAATAATTATTTTTTAAATTTTAAATATTACTTTTATTATTATTATTTACCAGATGAAGAGGGGTGTAGACAATAACTACTATGCTTTCAGAAAAGGGAGAGATCATTGTGGGCAGGAGTGGTCTGGGAAGGTTTTATGGAGTTAAAGTGAGCTGGAACAGGTCTTTAAGGATGAGTAGGATTTTATTAGGCAGAGAGAAGGGAAAGATGGCATAGGAAAGTCATATGAATATCAGACTCTCCCTGGAATTCCTCTAAAATGTGCTTCTTGAACCTTTCCTAAAAATCGTGGAAAGAATGCTAAATGTAGTCAGATGAGACCTGGGTTGAAATCCCCTCTCCAGTACTTAATAGCTGTGTAAGTACAGACAGGTCATTTCACCTCTATTAAAATTGGAGTCAGAGAGATAAGATTTGGCCTAGAAGAGACATTGTTCCATATTTTCTAATGATCACTTTGAGCAACAGAACTAAGAAGGTAGAAATTATTAATGGTTTAAATTCGTGGAAAGGGAAAAAGTATGCTAAGAAAAAGTTATGACTGCATCGTTCTCTCTCATTCTTACAGTCTCCAAGGACTCTGTCTCCCACGCCATCTGCAGAAGTAAGTGTTCTATGGGGAAACTGGGTTTCACTTGGGCAGTAAAAATATTTGGGATTTTTCAGGGTTGCTTGCATTCTTCAGGATTTAAAAAAATAAATAAATTCACAAAAACCTGAAAATTATTTGTAGTAGCTGTGAAGAAAAACTTGAGGGAATGGGTTAGCCTGGAGTGTTTCTACCTGCCAAAGTCTACAGAATATGGGAACAAATTCAGAAAAATGTTGGCTGGTAATAGAAAGCCACACACTGAATCATAGACAGCTCCAGAAAAGTTTTCAGAGAGTGAAATCATCTATCATAATGTGTGGTGTGCTTACCTCTGTACTCTGAGGGATCATCTTTATGGTTAATCCTGAAGAATCAAGTCATTTAACATCAGTGTCTTCATTTATAAAATGGGAATTATAGCATACTATCTTCCTCCCAAAGTTATAATGATGAAAGTGGGAATCATAATTATTTTTGTTAGCTTTCATCAGAACTTGATTGTAGTGACAAAATCAGTCAGTTAACATTTATTAAGCACCTACCACATGCCAGGCACTGTACTATGCATTGATAATATAATAAGAAACTAGAAAAAAAAAATCTCTGATCTCAAGTAGCTTACCATCTAATGGGGCTTTTGAAGGTATTTACGTGTCATATATCATATTGACTTTAGGGGGCCTTTTGGACATTTTCTTTCCAGGGATACCAGGATGTTCGGGATCGAATGATCCATCGATCAACTAGTCAGGGCTCCATTAACTCCCCTGTCTACAGCCGTCATAGTTACACGCCAACAATGTCACGTTCTCCACAGCATTTCCACCGACCTGGTAAGGGCAATGGTTATCTATGATTTATCTCCTTACAGGCATCACTATTTCTAGTGATAACTCAATGATAGAGAGATGATGAACCATCATTGTCATTGGAAGGATAGCAGACAAGTTTTTAACATTTTTTTCCTCCCCCTGACAACTGTCTTGCAGCCGTCTTTCATACTAGTCATTAAATACTGACTTTTTTTTAAAGTTGCATTGGTGGTTTCTTATGGATAAACTATACAAATGATCAAATATCTTCATCAAGCTATTGCTATTCCATAGTATAATAATATAGTTTTATTACCTTGGCTTGACTCATGACATGTTGAAAGAGCCAAATGCGTAAGTTCTTAATTGTTCACATAGCTATGGAAAGCTTTGGAAGCATTCAGTCTTTCCAAGAGCAGTTAAAAGATGATTTCTATATATAGCACTTGAAGACCAGATTAGAATTACACCTGTATTATGGGTTTCACTTGACCTTTCTTGCTCTCATCCCATTCAATTCAAGTACAGGATCCTCATTGCTGTCAGGGGCAAGGTCGGGGGTGAGGGGTATCTCTGTGTGGAATTGGAGGAGAATGAAGAGAGATCAGAAGCCTGAATTTTTTAAAATCCCCTATGAAGTAGAATTAGAAAGGAAGATGTGGGTCTGTCTCTTTCAGAGAACCTGAGAATAGTGGTAGAATGATAATTGTTACTCTGTGCATCAATAAAGACTATTTTAAGCATCTTACCTTGATTTAATGATGGAAAGAAAGTCAACATGTCACTAAGTGTGCTTTAAAATACACTAGAATTAAAACTGAAAGAAGTTAATGAATGTAAAAAGGCTGCAAATTTCTGTTTCTTGCCAGTAGATTTTATGCCCACACAATTCTCCTTTGGCCAAAGTAGACCCCATTCCAAACCCTCCTTCTTACACAATAGTAGGCAAATAAGCAGACAGGTAATGAATACTTGTTAAATTACTGAACTAAAATACGCTGCATTTTTTCTTCGTTTTTTAAGGCCTTCATTGAATACTCAGGATGCCTGAATATTTTTACTTACCAACTGGAAAGATTCCACTTAAAAGCTGGTACTTCCAGGTTATAAATAATCCTTTTTGCCACTGCCTTCTCCATCCCTTTACTGTACCCTCTGAGGGAACTGTAAACCACCAAGATAGCTGGTCTCTGGCATCAAAGCAGGCATAGATTGTATGGAGTGATTGGGAGAATAAGGTTCTCTGAGTACAGGTATCTATCTTCATCTCATAAGAAAAAAGGTCCAGTAAGGGGTGGGGAGGGGAGGGACACCGAGGGGAGAGAGGATTGAACAGGGAACTTTAAAAAAATTATCTTTACTGATCATTCAAGAGTATTCATCTGTTGTAATCATTTTTCCTTTAAAACAGCCTTACGACTTTTTTAGACTCACCTAGCTTTTGAGAGATGTATTTCTCCACTTATATACACTTCTGCTGTAGTGCAGGTTGGGTCATTTTCTTGGATTTATTCTGCATATCCAAAATGAGGCTGGAGTTAGATTCTGACATGGTAGTGACAGTGGACAGTATTGATGTCCCTAGTGATTTCTGCTCATGCCTCCCTAAGTCACTCTTGCTTCCCTCTGGCTATGTAGATCTGCCCTAAATCCCTTAGGTGTGTGCGTGTTTTGTTTTGTTTTGTTTCTAGTTTTCAGGGTCTACTGATTCTCAGAGATGTTTGGAGGCAGATCCATCTGCTTGTGTTGCCCAGCCTTGTCAGTGAACCTGAAAGGGATCTTTTCCCTTCTAAATCAATTCAAAAATGACATTAAGCTTTTGGAGAGAAGTTTGCAGCTTTTAGAAAAAAATTCCAATATTGAAGAACATTTCCCCTCAAACTGGTAGAATCGCCATCTTCTTACATGTCTTTCAGTTGGCTTTGTTTTTTGTCAGGTGCACATCAAAAACAGCTGCTAATTGATATATCTGGGTATTGCAATGTTTGCATGTCAATAGCTGGTTGTATCCCAACCCGTGACGTGTTGTTGCTCTTGTCTGCCAACCGAAAACATTTATCCTGATAGGTGAATCGATGCCAACCTGTTTTTAAAAAATACTTTCTAGAACTTTGCCTAACCCTTGACCTGGTACATTCTTAACCCTTTCTCCTTCCTACTTTTCAGACTTCTGATTAAAATGCTCTTTTCTTTTGGTTCCTCTCTCCCTGCTTCTGTCTTAATTTTTATTCTTCTTTCTGTTTTCATTTTGTCCCTGCCCCACGACTCCTTTTGCTGCTACAGAGCTGCTCTCTCCTGGTGTGCAGCGGTTGTCACACCTGCGCACTAGCAGTCTCAGCTCCACCCACAATGACTCCCGCCCCAACTCCCCATTCCGACACCACTTCATTCCCCATATCAAAGGTAAGGAGTCAGGCCTTTCTAGCTAGCACCCTGCATAGTGGAGATTTATTAGCACTCTTATGAAAGCTAATAAGGTTTATCTCCGAAAGGTAGCCTTGAGCTTTTTTAATCTTTCCGCATGCCTCTGATGTCTCACTACACTTGTGTGTGTGTGTTTAGAACTGGCATAACATTTTCCTTCGGGAGAAATATGTCATTTCTAAGGGCCCTAGATGAAGAAAATATATATACTTATATATATTACATATTAGAAACATATAGGCGATCTACTGCTTAGGGTACAGAGATTATTTTGGTGATTATGTTTTAAAAGACACTTAATATGTAATATATAGCTCCTATGCTGGCCAAGTTGGTACACAGTTTTAATAGGTGATGTGTATTTCTGAAAATATTTAGGCTACCAACATGCAGAAATTACCTCAAAAGCGATGAGTTGGTTAACAGTATTAAGTCTTGGCCAACATGAAAAGATCCATGGCAACACCTTAAATATTTTTGTTGTCAATTCTCTTTCTGAGTCCATATCTTTAAGCTATCTTCCTTTTACCTGGCCTGTCTTCCACTTGGAAAATGAGATATATCCTGTTTTCTGTTTCCAAGATAGGCCTGTTTTTGGTCCTGCCCCACATTTCCCTTTGTGATATTTAACCAGTCCTTCCTTGTCATTGTTCTTTCATCTCCTATAACAGGCCTTGATCAGTGTTCTTGTTTTCTTCTCCACTGTGGGGAAGCCAAGGATCCTGATGAGGTTTAAAAGGGGTCATCATTTGAAATAGACTTCAGAGTTCAGAAGTGGTGCTGGTTTCTACTACCTACTTCATCTGAAACAAGCCAACTGATGGAAGCATCAGTGAGAAGAGGTTCAGGAAGCATAGGCTGTTGCCATGGATCTTAAAAAATGCTAATAGACTTCAACCATATTCCAAGCACTCAAGTTAGTGACTTATAAATTGGAATCCTAGGGGGTGGGGGAGAGTGGTTTTAATTAGCACATATTTGCAACCTACCCAAGCACTTTTCCTTTATATTAACTTGATTCTTAGTTATTAGATCTCTTAAAAATAAATGCACTTTTCATGTCAGCATGAAATTAGCCAACAAATTTTGTCATTTCAACATTTTCTATGCACCAAAAACAGCGTTGCTGTCATACTTTGTGATGGCACAAGGATCTTCTTCAATGGGCACTGTGAGAAAATACTTCTAACGAATTTGCCTAACAGTCTGGAATCCATCCGTCCTTGCCAACTTATTTTTTAAAAAATCAGTATTATTATCACTGAGTGTTTTTTTTTGGAATAAAACCATTTTTAAACTGACAAACTCAGTTATTATCTGTTATGGAAAAAGAATGATATGGCCACTTGATGGCCAACCCTCTGATGATGAGCCTCTTGGAAGAGCTTGTCTTTGGACAACAGACACATAGTCTCACACTGAGCCTATATTCATCTCGGAGCCTTTCCAGTTCCTTAATATTTTCTAGAGATTGCACTCAGACATATCTTTTGAGAATAGAGTCAGCACTACCCCAAAATAAAGGAGCACATGGGTAGATAGTCTACTTATCCTCAGAGACCTTAACGTAAAAGTATTTGTTCTAACTCAACTTCATTTTGTAATGTAGAAGAAAATGTTACTGATTCATTAAGATGAAAATTTCCCATTTTGTTTGGATAGGCTTTTTCTTCTCATATCTAAGATTTTTTTTAAGATGGAAACTTTTTACAGTAGATATCATGCTTGAATTCCTACACACAGTTATAAAATTTTGATCAAACTATTATGACATACTCTGCCATTTCTGATCTTAGACAAAGCATTAATTTATTTAGATCTGTTGTTGCTCAGAAGTATGAGAGTGTAGATTAAACAAATGACAGAGACACCAATGCTTGGTATGCTCATTTTTTTCTAACACATGAAATCTAAGATGCTTATTAAATAACCTTTAAATGTTCATTTTTCTATTTCTTTTTTCAATTAAAAAAACTGCATGTTTTTGATGTTGAGATAGTCAGCATCCTTCCCCAAAAATGTTTGATAACATTTTTATTTATTTTTAGCTTTTCAATAATAAAATTATCTCTTCTGAAAAAGACTAAAAATGCCACGTGCTTTTTGCTCCTGTCTGCTATTTTATCCCGCAATGATAGCTTGCCTTCAAACTTTTGTTTGGATCTAGGTTCCGAATCTTTGAACTCATGATTGATCGAAACAATCAAATGAGGGCAAACTTAGCAAAGGCATTAGAGCAAGGGTGGTTGGTAACCATATGATATGAATACAAACTTAAGTTATTCATATATTAACTGTAAGTTGCAACTAAAAAGTTAAATAAAAAATTCCCCTTCTTCATGTCTTCTCACTTGGGCTTTATTTGTGCTAATTAGTGCATGTGTAACTAACATATATTTTCTAAAGTCAAAAATATAGCATTCACGTAATATCTACTGATATTAAAAGTGGAATGTCCTTATTGGCAAGCAAGCTAATTAATAATATGCCCTAAGGAGGAGATGACTTTAGGACTCTGGAATTTGCCCTGAACTCCACTACTCTGGTAGCACTGGATATTTGAAAGGGTTCAATGCTGTTTCTCCTGATGAATCCCA